AAAAAAAAAAAAGAAATCACTAAAATATTTTTCAAGTTTGTGTGTGTTTTGTTGGTTTTGGTTTTTGGATTTTTTTACATCGTAGAGAAGGACATGAGGCCGAAAATGGAAACTAGAAAAAAAAAATTAGTTATCTTTTCCTATTGTAACCATATGCTTCTGTTTTTTTTTTTTTGAGTTGGAGTCTCACTCTGCCGCCCATACTGGAGTGCAGTGGCACGCTCCCAGCCACCGCAGCCTCGACCTGCTGGGCTCCAACGATCCTTCTGCCTCAGCCTTCCAAGTAACCAGAACTGCAGGTGCACACTACCATGCCCGGCTAATTTTTGATTTATTGTAGAGACAAGATCTCACCAAGTTGCCCCAGCAGGTCTTGAACCCGCAGGCTCAGGCAATCCACTTGTCTCAGCCTTCGAAGTGCTGAAATTACAGGCCAAGCCACCGAGCCAGGCCTGTAACCATATGCTTCTATTCCACTGCAAACTGTCACAACCACTGTTAGCACCCAAAGTTGATTACCTGTTGGCACTTGGACTTTGCAAATTAAAGATAATTTAGAAATAAGGCCTGAGGCCGAGCTCAGTGGCTCAGCCTGTAATCCTGCGCTTTGGGAGGCCGAGGTGAGTGAGTTGCCTGACCCCGTGGGTTTGAGACCCACCTGGCAACTTGGCGAGACCTCATCTCTACAATAAAGAAAAAAATTTAGCCGGGCGTGGTAGCGCGCGCCTGTAGTTCCGGCTACTTGGAAGGCTGAGGCAGAAGGATTGCCGGAGCCCAGCAGGTCGAGGCTGCAGTAGCCAGGAGCGACCACTGCACTCCAGTCTGGGCAACAGAGTGAGACTCCAAGTCAAAAAAAAAAAGGAAAAAAAAAAAAAAAGAAAGAAGGCCTGACACAGTGGCTCACTCCTATAATCTCAGCATTTAGGGAGACCAAAATGGGAGGATCACTTAAGGTCAGGAGTTCAAGACCAGCCTGGGCAACATAGCAAGATCCCATCTCTACAAAAAAAATTTTTTAATTAATTGGGCATGATAGTGCTGTTCTGAAGTTCCAGCTCATTCAGGAGGCTGAGGCAGGCAGAAGGACTACCTAAACCCAAGAGTTGGAGGTTCCAGTGAACTATGATCACACTACTGCACTCCACCCTAAGTGACAGAGTGAGACCATGTCTTTAAAAGAAGGAAGAAATTTAAATGCCTTTGCTACCTTAACTGTAAAGATTCCTCAGGGATTCCTTTTTTTTTTAATTTACAGTTTATGCTCTTCTTGTCTCTTACCTGATTAGGTACAAATCAAGACCTATCAACTCCTACATTCCATTTTTCAGTATCCGAATCCAGTTGTTTCCTACCCATACATTTACTCTTTAGCATCCTCTCTTGTGGAAAAACTGCAGGAAATAGACAAGAGAAAACCTGAAAACACTACTGAGCTTCAGATCTTTCAAGAAGGCATAAAAGTCTTGGAAGCACTGGTTACTGTCGCTGAAGAGCAGCATCGTAAGTGTCAGCATACTCATTCGTACTAACTCAGAATAGTCTCCAGAGTCAGAATCTCAGTGTTATTTACATTGTAAAACATCCAGTTAGTGGCATTGTATCTTTATTTCATATTCATTGAAAGGCAGCCGGGTTCGGTGGCTCAGCCTGTAATCCTGTGCTTTGGGAGACTGAGGTGAGTGAATTGCCTGAGC